CTCACTTGACTAGTCCAAGCCCTGAACCCAATGAGTGTGGACTTTGTAAAAGAAGCGACTTGGATACAGAGACACAGACACACGGGGGAAGATGGCCATGTGAATACACAGCCAGAGATGGAGTGACGGTGCTGCAATTCAAGGAAATCCCAAAGATTGCCAGCAGCCACCCCATGCTAGGACGAGGCAAGGGAGCAGTCTTCCCTAGAGCCTTCAGAAAGAGAAGGCTCAGTTCAGACATCCAGCCTCCAGAACTGGGAGAGAAGCTTCTGTGTTACCAGCTTCACCACTTTGTGATAATGTGTAGTAACAGTCCTAGGAAAGTAATATCACCTGCTATAGTTAAGTTGTAACCTCCCTCCAGTTGTGACAACCAAATTGTCTTGAGACAATTACTAAATGTCCCCTGAAGGGCCAAATCATCCCACTTGAGAACAACTGAACAAAATCGAAGTCTTATCAAAAATAACTTGGTGGGTAAAACATTTTTAAAAGCCCTCAGTCCTGGAAAATTGCAGAAACCCTTGTCAAACTTTTGTTTTTTTTTTTCTTTCTTTCTTTTATAGAGGCATGTTTTATTTATTTGTTTGTTTGTTTGTTTGTTTTGTTTATACATGCACTGGGTACAGTCAGAAGCATGGGAGGGTGAGAGAATTCACCAGAGCCAGAGCGGGGAGCAGAGCAGGCAGAAGGACAGAAGTACACTGCTGAGGGGAGCAGCAGGCGGCAGGAGAGGTCTGCGCGCCATGCGGGACCCTCCTCCGGTGGCTGGGGAGCAGCCAGGGATTGAACCGGCGCCACAGAGGCCGCGGGCAGCCTCGCAACCCAGCGCTCAACCGCTGCACCACCGGGGAGGCCCAACTTTTGGTTTTTATTAATCTTACTTGGCATGAATTTCACTGTTAAAATATAATGAACTATGTGAGGTGGTTCAAACATGAGTTTCCACACTGTCCTTTGAAATGTATTGCAAAAAATCATATTTTAAAGGAAAGATCTATTTGTTTATATTCGCATCTGAGCAAGTTTTAAAAATAGTTTTGCAGGGCTCTATAAAAGTGTACTTTGCTCTTGTCATTAGGCTTTTTAATTGTTCTTTAGCATTTACTTTTACTAGCTTTAAATGACCTTCTTGTTCAATAGTTCCCATACTATGGGAAAAATATGAGTTCCCTATGTGACCTGTTCCTGACTTAGAAAGGCTGACTTACACATGTTCCCAATGGGAATTTACTTCCTTGACAAAGCTTCTTTTATCTTAACAAAGTCTCTCTGGACATTAGTGTCTAGGAACCAAGGTCACCTTATCCCCTCTTTTCTTACTACCACTGCAGTTAGGAATAGCACACTGTATTCCTAGAACGCGGAGGTAGAAGTCTAAATGTTCTATTTAGAAGCAATATTGGTAATTGGATATTTTAATGCTATAGTTCATCCCTGTCACTACTTTAATGGCCTTTTCAATTTGGCATGGACCCAAGGTTATATACAGGTATTGCTTCCATGAGGAAATATATTCTGAGTTCCAAATTTCTATTGTATACATGGTATATATTAATCATTCCTAGGTTCTAGTGTTTCTGCAGTTGAGGAGTATTTTTATAATGCCATCTATCAGGATGATGGAATTAAGTTTATTAAATTTTTAATTTATGTGTATTGAAAGCAGTCCATACATATGTGTGTGAGAAAAGAGGGCTGGAGAGAATGATATCCTAATAATAGCTTTTCAACACATGCTTGTCTCTAAATGAAGACCCATCCTTCCAAGATTTTAAAATATAATAAGAGATTTGAGGGGGATTTAGAGAATGCTTATTCTTAAATAGAGGTGATTGGAACTTACTTTCTGATTTAAATAAAAGTAAATCTTATCTCCCAGTGCAGCTTTTTAGTGTTACTTATTCTCTTGTTTCTTTACCAATTTATTTCATTTAAGTGGGTCCCAGCACTAAATGTGCGTAGCTGCTACCTCAGTATTTTAAGTAGAAATCACAGGGTGCTTGTATGTTTATTTCATTTGAAAACATTTATGGCACCAATTGTAGGCCCTTTTAGCAATGTCTATATTAAAATGTATTATTTGAAAGACATTTAAATAGAGACCAATTCGCCACTGCACATGAAATTATAACAGGTGAAAATTAGGATGTTATTTAATTCTTTGTTGCAGCAACCTTGTGCCACATCTCCTTTGCAGAGGGGAAAAAAAAATAATCTCTGGAACAACTCTTAGGTGTTATTCTTTTGTGTTAGCATTTTGCCACTACTTGTAAGAGAATAGTGGAAAATTTCCAGCAATGATTAAGAAAGGTAAATATGAAAACTTGAGGACTGCCATGTTATGATCTTGGCACCATCGGACAATATTATACAACTTTTCTGACCCTCCCTTCTGTCTCTGTGAAAGGGAACACCAAGTAACAAGTCAGTGGTTGGACCTGGATTAGGATACAGAATTCTGTTTCTCCATTTTGTGTTTCTTTTTGTGACTCAGCCTAATCCTTTGAGGGAAGTATTCAAACCACATCTGCCTGAATGTCATGCCAATTTCCTTTAAACGTTGGCGGAATCAGCCCTTTGCCAACTGTCCTCCTACTGACAGCAATAAGGTTTACATTTTTACTTTTTTGATTAAAAAAATAACTTGGCTAAACAAAGGACTTTTCATTTTTACTGTTCTAACACCTCTGTGGAGTGCCCTGCTTCTCCACACATTTTGTATATATTGTCTCTTAAAGGGACTTTTCCAAGGCAAAAATCATAACCGTTACACGTGCTCTTTCATACTGGAGCCTTGTGCAGTGGAATCTTGGACCTGATAAGGACTTAAATGAGAGTATAAAGTTAGGATACACTGATTTATCGTTGTGATTATATTTGTATATAATCTGATAATTGGAAGTAGGCATCACAGCTGATGTCTTAGGCAACTCCCCAAACTTCTCTACTCTTCAGACTTGGTTTTCCTTTGCTTCCTATTTTTTCAACTTTTTTAACTTTGTATTTTTCCCAGTTCAAGCCTACACTCATTCTCTCCTTGTTCGAATGCAGGTTCCAGGTAGACCTTTCTGTCTGGGTTCCGAAGATAAATATGGGAAAATAACCCCCAACTCCAGCTCAGTCTCCGCCTCAATTCTACCTCCTGGGTCCCTCAAAGATGTAACTAACATGCCAAGTTTATGAAATGTCCAGAACGCTTAGAGTCATCATTATGAGGATATACTACACTGACGTTTTCATAACTCTGCATCACAAAGTATGGACCTAAGTCCACATTATTATGATCCACATGTCCCTCCAGAGGTCAGCTTCATATTCCTCATCAGCATCGAGCATGCATCAAGTGTTTTCTGTGTTAACTTATTTAAGTGAAATAAGAGTAATGATGACAGCAGTTTTCTACCTTATGTCACTCTTACCAACCCTGCTGTGAGTAGTAATAATAATATAGGATATCAGGTGATCTCTAAAGGCTATGGGCTTGTTTCAGGGATAAGGAGTGTGGTGAGAACTTTCAGGATTGCTTTCAGCTCTGCAGTAGGTGAGGCTGAGAAAGAAGAGTTCCCTAGCAAGGAGGCAGAGATAGCAAAGCTTATGTTGTGCAAGCTTCACTGAACAGATGATACGGTAGAAGATCTTCCTTCCATCTGCACCTTCCTGGCTCCCCATCCAGAAGTGATTAGCATCTGCTTTGATCTTTCTGAGATATTTTTCTTTAATACAACCTCTAAGTGAGCTGTGCCTGATTTTTTTCCTCTGTGTGTGTGTGTTTGAGAGAGAAGAGAATATGAAAGGATGACTATTACATATGGATGAAGGAAAGGTTTTATATTCCTGATAGCCCAGTGAAAAGCTCAGGGCATATTTTTCTGTATCATCACTATCAGGTTGGTTTAGTTATTTAACTCATTAAGTGATTATTTAATGGGAAGGTACATTCCACTTTGCATTCAAAGGGACCAAACCCTTGGGACCCAACTTACTGGTGAGCCAAGTCCTGCTAGGTAGATTTTTTTTTTTTACTAGGCAGTATTGAAAAAGCTGCATGTCAGCTGAAGCACAACAACAGCAGTTGTTAATTTGATAATGTTTTTCATACATGGAAGAAAAGGAAAGAACTAGAAATCTAATCTTGCACTAGGAATAACCTTCAGAGCAGAGTATAAAAATGGGGAGGAAAATAGCCAGGTTTAATTTATGTTGAATGAAATGCTTAAAGAATGCAGCCAAGTTTGCAATAATAAGCCTTTTTTCCCTCTCTGACTTGTTGGACAGAGGTGGGATAGTTTTCTTGGGAGGCAAGGTCTGTTGCCCTAAAGCCAAAGAAATAACCAGTGTGAGGGAAAAAAAAAGCAGCTTTGAGTAGAGTGGGAGAGGTGGAAATAGAAACTCTGTTTCTCTGATAAAAGTTTTCAAAAGAAGAGAGAAATGATGGAGGCAACCCAAAAGTGATTTTGGTGCAGGACAACTGAACTGTATCTGGAATAGACTTTGTAATCTGACTACCGCTGGGAAGCAAGAAACACAGACCCCACTGTGTATTTTATCTTCTCCGAGCTCCAGTGCCCAAGGTCTCCTTTTTATACCTTCTTTATGCCCTTTATTGTGGTCTCTGTCCCTCTCTGTTCTTGCTGCTCTCTGCCTCTTCGTTTTGTTTTTTTTTCCTGATACTCTTCCCTAATTCTCACTTTCTTCAGTTTCTCTATGTTTTATGAAAGAACCACAAGTGGTTAAAAAAATGAAAGTTTTTTTGAAGCTCCCTGCTGTAAATCAATAGGGAATTTTCAGTAAAAAAAAATCAAAAGAATTAGAAATTTAATCATATTCAATAGTCTGGTATATTTCTGGATATCTGTGGAGCAGATAAGACCTAGTTATCCAAAGCTGCTTGAAATATTTATTTTTACTAGTAGTATACAATATACCATTTAGAACTAATATTAGATCATCACTTAATCTTAATACTAAACTGTAATCACATATTCTTTTTCTTACAGCTTCACCTTTTACAAGTCTACCTCTCCGAGAAGAAATGATGGCAAAATACACCAACTTTTCCTTGGAGAGTCATAACATATCATTGACTGGTAAATGTATCATATTTCAAATAACACTGTGTCCAAGTTTTAATTTTTCATTAAAGACACTTTTTCTTCTTTTTTTGAAGTACCAACTCCTGCTCATGGTCCGAGAGAGAAACGCCAGCGCGTTACACACTGTACAGTAATACAATCTGATGGGAGTCTGATTAATGAGGACATTGTGCCCCGTGTGCAGGAACACAGCAGCTAGTCCAGACGTGGGAGGACTAAGAAGGATTCAGGGGGAGTCTGGGGGACACCTGGGAAGAGGGGAAGGTTCACTTTGATTTGCAGGTTTTTTTTTTTTTTTTTTTGTGGTAACATTGGTTTACAAAATTATATGTGATTCAGAGGCACCTAATCACACCGCCCGGGATTCCCTGGGATTCGTGTCACCATGGTACCCATCACCGATGCCTGTAGTCCACCATGAGAGTCCACTGTGCTCCCTCCCCGTGGCAATACCCCTCTTTTCCTCTTGAAGCCTCAATTCCGCAGTCAGATTTCTAGGAGTTGTTGCAGATATTTTTTATGTTTCCATCAATTCGGTACATCTGCTGACACCACTCTTCATTGATGGAATTTATGCATCCATTGGAACACCTTGAGGCAGAGAAATTAAAAGTGCTATCACATGAGTCAGTTATAGAGCTGTGGGAAAATGGGTAGGGGATTTGAAAATAAAACTCAGCTTGGTGTTCTCTGTCACAGTTTGAATTCCAGAGTTTCAAAAGTAATCTCAGAGTTCTTTAAATGACTAAGAGTAGATATTTGTTTTGGTAACAATATTAAAGTGAAAGTGTATTCAGAATTTAAAATGTTTTAAGCTTGCTTATTAAGTCACTGAATTTCATCTAGCAATAAATATGGACTTTAACTGTCCTCTGGTCTTGAGATCTGTTTATGTATTTCCATACAATATGAATAAACAAATGTGGCACTCCCTCTGTCCCATTATCTGATACCATTGGAACATTTGCACTGAGCTCTTCGGTGGAACATTTCTGTGACTTTGTGCAAATCCTTATTGTTCCTCAGTGTCTGCAGCCCAACATTTGGAGTTTATTCTTACTTGTAAAAACTAATCCTCACTTCTGTGTTGTTATTTACTCTTTTACAGTTTGCACTTTCTGGTTGGTTTCCTCTGTTGGGAAATGTTTCTTTCTGAGTGATTCATTGAAATATGGTTGCTCTTCCTTTGACATAGTAATGGTGACAATAGCACTTCCCTTACTTACCCAGTGATGCTGGAGCCTGGCGGGTAAAATGATCAGGTGCCCAAGAGCAAGAGCACTTGGTTGGACGGTTTAACTCTTAACCACTTAACCACAGTATTCTTACTGTTGTGAAGGGACCGGTGTTCACAATTGCTCATCATTTCCCTTCTGCATTGAACTTGGCTTTTCACTTCCTTCCGGAGCACTGAATTTCAGCATACCCCAAATGTAAGCAAGCAGCAGTGTGTGACCATAGCTCACACATGCTGTCTCCTCCCACCTGCTGGTTATCTAATTTTCTCTTAAAAATTCCTGCTAGACAACTAGTAGAAAAATCATAGAAATCTGGCTGTGGAACTAACAGACAACCAGAGGGGAGGGGAGGAAACAGAACAAAATGGGACTTCTAGCATAAGTGTTGTATGGAACCTGATCCTCTCTCTTCGCATCCCTCCTGCTATTGTTCAAATCCTTCAGATGTTTGAGAAGTCAAAGGCTATATCACAAATAAAGCACATATGGAGAAAGCACATATGTAATGTATTTAAGTTAAGTTGGTTATTTCAAGTGTTATGATTCCTAAATAGAGCCACGGAGGTCTAAATGGGTGTCATTTCTTAGAAGACTACAATTTGCTTAAAGGTCCTGTGCAGATGTAAATTACTGAGAGGTTTTAGGACATTTTTTAAAAATACAGTTCAGGAACTAAACAAGTGGGCATAGTCTAAGAAATATAGATATCATAGATGTTTTTGCAACACTAATAAAACTACAGAAATGCATCCCAACTGTAGAATTTTGGGTAGTTGAGACACTATTCATTGAGTTCAATAGGAACATCTGTTGGTTAACCAACAAATATTTTAATACTAGAGGTAAAACTTTTAACATATTTTTGATGCTTATGATTTCTTGGCAGGAAGGAAAGCAGAAGCACCTGCAAAGTATTATACGAATGATGAGATATAATAAGTAGGGCTTGGAGGCGGGACTGCCACAAAGAAATGTTACCTTGTAGTTTCAATCATGTAAAAGCAGCATTTAGGTCCTCCCTGGTGGCACAAGGGGTTGGGACGTGGCCTATGGGGCTGTCCACAGCCACTGCAGCATGAGTTCAAGCCCAGCTGGGGAGCTGCCCACATGGCGCAGCAGACCTCTCCTTGCTCCCTTGCTGCTCCCCTCAGCGGTGTTCTGTTCCCCACCAGTCACTGGTGAAACCTGTCACCCCCCATACCTCTGGCCTGTACCTCAGCTCTTGTGTGCATAAATGAATAAATCTTAAAAAAAGAAGCATTTAGTTGAACATATGAATATCTAAAATGTGTTGAGCACACCATTTATTATCACATTGTTTTACTGGTGCATTATAAATTTATTTAATATTCTATTAATATTTTCTATTACAACCATGATTCAGTAGTTTACAAGTGATGAATAATTTCTTTACATTGTCATGAGGATTTTGTATTTTGGAGAGATGGTATGTAATGTTGGTTCTGAGACTTTGGATTCAGCCACACTGAAATTTGAGATTCAGCCCTGTCCTTATCTTGATGCCTGATTTTAAGGAGATAGCCCATCTTTGCCTCAGCTTCATCATCTCTGAAGTAGAGATGATATTTGTGGAATTAATTTCATAGAACTTCTGTGAAGACTAAATGACAGAATCAGTGATAACTTTTCTTGTATTTCCCAATGAGATACATGGTTGGAGAAAGGAAGGGGCAATTATTGGCCAATTAATTTATTAGTATATATAATAGCTCATTTAATCCTTTCTACAATCTCATAAAATACGTATTGTCCCATTTTACACATGAGGAAACTGAGTTGCCCAACATAAAAGTGCTTTGTTTTACCCTGTGAGTGATCATAGGTCAGGAAGCCTAGCTATCAGGCTGCTTGTTGTGAAATGGTGGTAATAATGTATATCTTAGCTTCCTACTGTGTTAGAAGGCTCCAGTGAGTGACATCACCAAAAACAGCAAGGTGCCCCGGGATCACCTTCTGCATTGTAATTATCTCTGCAATGCCTACTACTAGAAGTGATAATCCTGTCAAGTTTCCTTGCCAGTCCTCCCCCAAGAAAGATGGTTTGTCTTCAACTCCATGAGGTGTAAAAGAAATAATGCCAGAAGTCAAAATAGCCTTTTTTGGGTGTTCTGACTTCCAGAGTTTTCTGCAGTTCCACTGGCTACAGTAAGAGTAGGTCATCCGGTTCTGAGCAGTGTGGTCCTGCAGAGTTAAACCATTAGGATGAGTGATCTTCAGCTCAGACCCTAGATAAGACAGAAGTCTCCAAAGGCTTTGCCTTGAAGCAGCGTCTCAGTGGAGTTTTGCTGCCTGTGAAAGTTTCCTGGATTTTCAATAGATGGTCCTTCTACAACTGTCCTGCACATTTTGACCTTTTGAATCTCCTTCCTTCTCTATGAGTTAAGATCTCCTTTCATATACTAGCAAGGGGATAAACCAGAGCAGTTCAGCCTTCTGAGGATGCATGCAGCACCTGCAGAGATGGTAGCTACTAGGAAAGATACTGCTGAAATGTGAATCCCTTAATGGGGGGAGGGGGAATAGTGCTGACTAATTTCACTTGCATCCTCAGATTTCATCCATCTTGTTGCACATTGCCAAAATTCCTTCTTAAGATTTTGAGATATTCCATTGTGTATATAGATCATATTTTGGGGAGACACTCATCCATCAGTGGACATTTGGATTGTTTTTATGTCTTGGCTATTGTAATATGATGTATCTGAAATAGTCAAACACAAACAAAGAATAGAATGGTTGCCAGGGAGTGGGGGAGAAAAATGGGGAAGTGTTGGACAAAGGAATTAGTTTCTGTTAGGCAAGATGAATAAGTTCTAGAGATCTACTTTACAACATGGTACCTTTCAAATAACAATACTGTACCAGACACTTAAATGTCTGTTAAGATGGTATATGACATGTTAAGTGAGCTCACTACACTTAAAAACATACTTTTTATGCATATGAAAGGTTTCAGTCAGTTAAATAGTCAAAGTTTTAATTTAGAAGGACAGCTTTGGTATTGTTATAGAAAATATGTGGAGGAAGAGAAATTAGCCAGGAGAAGTTTGAGGTAATTTGGTTGGTCTTGGTGAAAGATAATGAAGGTATAGGGGAGGGAAAAGCTTTCCTTGACTCTTATAGTGTCCTTGACTGGGTCTAAAAATTTACCTGACAAAAACAGGTGAACAGAAAAAAAAACCTACAAATTTAAGAGAAGTTTTGTGTGACACAAGGGTCTTCTTAAGGAAATGATTTGATGAAGAATGGACAGTCATGGGAGGGGGATATGATATATCACAGAGTATGAGGTTGAGTGTAATAAACTAAGGGAAACTTAGCATGGCCTCTTTGTTAGTATTTGCTTTTTCTGAACTCCCTCTATATTTAGAGATAAGGATGCTCCTTTCCTGGTGTATAGAGGGCAGCTCACATGAGGATTTTATGATCTATTTCATGAGAGAAGGGCACGGGTCAGGGATGGTGGTTGGAATGACCTGCTATTTCTCAAGCTCCTTGAGTTAAAAATATCCAGTATGCCAATATAACATAGCTTGCTAATCCAAGGACCTATTATTATAAAGGGGATTAGAGGAAATTGGGCAAATATGATTGGTATTTCAGAGATTGAATTAACTGAATTCTGCATGTGATTCAAAGTCATGCATCAGTGAAGAGAAGGTTAATGGGTCTTCCACGAATGTATTGTGTTTGAAGTATCTGTGGTATATCTGGGTTTAGATGCTCAGTAGATGCATGGAGTTAAGGATCTGGGACTAAAGAAGGAAGTCTTGAGTAGAACCAAGAGTTTTGCAAATAAAAGATGCTAGAGATAATAATTGGAGCCAACGTGGGAGTATCATATTGAAAAGTAAAGAGGCCATAGAGCAAGATACCATAAAACACCCATATTTTAAGGGGGTTGTGCTAGCAAAATCATGCTAGAATCATGGCGTGGAAGCAGAGTAAAGGGAATTTAAAGGAGTACGTAGTCACTGGCAATGTCTGATTTTTCAGAGACATCAAATAAATTGAGAGCCCTGGAAAGAGGTGGTCAGGTGAAATAATTAGGCTGTTTTTAACTTAAGAGAAAGTACATTTTGTACTGTGATAACAGGATATGCTCCTTTGAAGTGACCGTGTGGGTGAGGACAGACTGTATAGGGAACTTTTAAGAAGTTGACTAATGAAGAACATTCTTTGAAAGAGAGATAGGATCCAGTGGGTTTGTTTTTATGTACAGTTTATAGAAACATTGTAGTAGCTGTGCAACATAATAGCTTGATATATGTGTGTACTGTGAAATGATTACCCCAATTAGTTTAGCTAATGTCCATCACCAGGACTGAATACATTTTACGGGTACAACTTTACCGGAGCTAAAGGTGTACGGAGGAAAATCTACAGAAAAAAGAAATTCAAGACTGAATATCATAGATCTTGAGTATTTCCCCCTGTAACTTGTATCTGGAATAACTTTGGGCATGTAGTAGGTACTCAGCAAATCTGCTAAAATGTGTAGATCCCTTCAGATACTCATTTCCCCCTTATGTTATTGAATCTTTCTAAGGTCTTTCTATACCCAGGGTTTTTGTTATTTTTTTTTTCTTCTTGAGCAGAAAGTTCAATTTAGCAATTTTGGAATTACATGAGTGTTTATTTCAAGCATGTGCTCACAAAGCATTTCACCCTAGCTGTGCTTCACTGTTTGCAAACTCTGCACCTGGCCATTGCTTAAGGAAGCATTTTTGTAAAGTTTTAGATAGAATTAAAAGTGAAATTATGCTATTTTATTAAAGTTCTCAGATCTTTCTACATTTTGTTTCTGTTCTACTATTAATGGTGTCATACCATTATTGAGTGCGATTTTGGGAAATATGTTTATATAATGTATCTTTTCCAAACACAATCCTTTCCTTTCCCTTAAGAAGTTAAACCAGGACCTCCCTGGTGGTGCAAGGAGTTAAATCTCAGCACTATGAAGCTACCCACAGTCACTGCAGCACTAGTTCGATCCCTGACCAGGGAGCTAATCCATATGGCACAGCAGACCTCTCCTGTCTCACCCTTACTTGCTGTACTTTATTGTTTTATTGCCCATGTGTAAATCCCTAAATAAATAGATTAGCTGTATTTTTTTTCTAAAAACATGTTTTTTAAGGATGTTACAAGTTTTAGGATTTTCTCTCTCCCATTTCTGATTTGTCAAACAAACCAGATTATTCATCTTGTAGAATTCACAAGCTGGATTTGGTTTACTTGCATGGGGTATAGTTTAACATGTCTTCATATCTTCTGTATTTCTTGTAAACTGGTAATTGGATCTAGAAGTCTCTGTCAGTTTCAGGACCCCTCCCCCTTTATATTGATGGAAAAGATGGCTTTCTAGATAGTCAGGTGTTCTTCCTCAGGAGACATAATTCTGTTTTTCAGAGTTGATGATCCTTTTTTGAGATGAGTACAGCAGTTGGTGCAAAATGCTGAGATCCATGATTCATTAGGGATCGCAACATAAGTGAATTCTGTTTCTATGGTATCTTCATTTGCTCGAATTCTAAAAAGGAAAAAATTCCTCTTCCACTATGTGGTTACCAGTGGCACAAGTAGTGTACTTGCTTGACATTTTCCCCCTTTATTTACCATGGTCCATTTTTTTAAAAGATGTCTAGGGCTTCCCTGGTGGCACAGGTGGGTTAAGCACTGCACTATGAAGCAATCTGAAGCCTCTGCAGCATCAGTGTGATCCCTGGCGGTCAGGGAGCAGCCCACATGGTGCAGCAGACCTCTCCTACTCACCCGCTCTCCCCTCAGCAGTGTATTTCAGTCAGACTGCCTGTTCTGTTCCCCGCTCTGTCTCTGATGAATCCTCTCAACCCCCACATCTCTGGCCTGTACCCCAGCTTTGTATGCATAAATAAATAAATCTTTAAAAAAAATTAAAAAAAAGATGTTTATACAGATCCTCCATGAATGAGTTGGTACTATGTCCGATTCCATGAAAATTCAGAAATACAGGGTGTTTAACTTCTGTCTTACATTTGTACCTTCATCCATTCCCTATGAGTTCTTAGAAGACTGTATATCACATAAGCCCACATCATGCACAAAGTATTCCCGTAATAATTCCAAACAACATGATTACTGAAAGGAGAAAACTATCACTCAAGTCTCTCCCCACTAGTTTTGTTGTACAGTTGTGCTGTCTGTACACTGCCAAAGCATATGGCACTTACAGAGTTCTCTCCCTTATACTCTTGTTAGCTAGACATTTTCAGGAGGTTTAGATCTTGGCCTTAGGCTTTTGCTGTCCTGTTAATGTTAGCAAAATTTTTCTTCAACTGTACCTATGAAAGAATAATAAAAGGAACCAAATCTATGTTGATGGAAGAATAATTCCTCAAAAGAATTTCACATTAAGAAACTGTTGGTAGGATATTATCATCAATGATTTAAACTGTCTTATATATTGGCTGTCCCTAAATGTAACTTTCACATCTTTTTTTGTTATTGTTGTTTCTTTCCTTTTTTATAGAACAGTCCAATGTGCCAGTAGAAAAAAATATCACTTTAGAAAGACCTACTAATGTAGAACTCACATGCCAATTTAAAGCATCTGGGGATTTGAAGTCAGTAAATGTGACTTGGAAAAAAGGTGACAAACCACTGGAGAATAATTATCAAGTCAATGTATCAGGAAACATCCTGTATACACAATACATGTGAGTATATAAAATTTTAACTTGCACGGCTAGATGAAATTAGCTAAAATATGAATATTTTTGCTGAGCATTCTTTCCTTTGCTGTCAACTGAATGTTAAGCTCATACACTAATTTGCATATTTACAGAATTGTTTCTATTTTAAAAGTGTGATTAATAGCTATGATTTTTCATTTTCATTAAGTTTTTTGAGCACTAAGACCATCTTAATAACTTAAATTATCCTTAGGTTCACCATCATTAGTAGTGAACAAATGGGAAGTTATTCCTGTTTCTTTGGAGAAGAAAAGGAACAAAGGGGCACCTTTCATTTCAAAGGTCAGTACTAATAATTTATAGAGTAATAACTTTAGACTTATGTTCTTAGAGTTCTAAATCCCCTGATTTTTAAAATTATTGCAATACTAAACATAATGCAGCTGGAAGAAGGTCATGTGCTGTCCATTGAATCGTAAGTGGTGACCTTGAAAGTGGAACCTTCCAGTGCTGCTTCCCTGCGGGAGGCTTTGCACTTCCCAATGTTGCGTGTGATAGGGTTCATGTGTGTCCCAGAGATTGAATAATCACTGGTACACACTGGGCTAAAGTTTAGCCAGCTCAGGTTGATTGCAAGAAAAGACTCCTGACAGCAGGAGGGGGTCCTAGGGAGGACCTCTTACTGATAAGATTGGGCTTCCTTTTTATAGGAAGTCTTGGGAACTTTCTGCTTTTCTGGTGCTTTTCTGACTCCCTGTGATTTTTTCCTTTGCCACCGGATTGAGCTGTATGAAGTGACCACAACTAGCATTTGTCTCTATGTCTTTGGTGGTCACCAGCCTTGCTAGCAAGATTTCAGCTCCCTCACTAATCCACTCCCACTTCTATTGCCCTCCCCCTGTTTAAAGCACAGGTTTTTGTTCAAGGGGTCCTAGGGAAGACCTCTTACTAATAAGGTTAGGCTTCCTTTTTATAGGAAGTCTTAGGAACTTTCTGCTTTTGTGGTGCTTTTCTGATGCCCTGTGACTTTTCTCCTTTGCCACCGGATGTGGCTGTATGAAGTGACTACAAGCTAGCATTTGTCTCTATGTCTTTGGTGGTCACCAGCCTTGCTAGCAAGATTTCAGCTCCCCCACTTCCATTGCCCTCCCCTAGTTTAAAGCACAGGTTTTTGTTCAAAAGATCAGGCTTCCAGATTATTTTAAATCATAGTGTCTCTGGAATTTATTTATTTAGGTCTGCTCAATTCAGAGCACTTCTAGTAGCCCTCTAAGTGTCAAGTTATTCCATACCTAGACAGGGAGAATATAGTTTCATGTTTTGTGTCAATCTCTCCAGGATTTGGGATTTGGGGGAGCCATAAAACTTAAAAATAATACAGAGATGCACAAAAAGTTTGCCTGCTTCTAATCTCTTATAACCCCAGGATAATATTTCAATGTTTCCGCTTAGACAAACTGTTTTATTCTTACCATCATTAAACCAAAACTTTAAAGGTCTCAATCTCATAATAAAGACTGGTAGGTTGAGCTGAATCCTTACCGTCATGGAAAGCCAATCTTGTGTGGTGGTTCAGTGAACCACAGTGTCTGTGCTGGGATTTGGGAAATTCAGTCTGTTGCTTTTTAAGTATTTTGGGCTTAGCGTCAAATTCATTTCCTAGGGTACATGGTCATTTTTCTCTAATTTTCCTAAAACTTGTAATGTATGGAAAACTGGTCTGACAAAATATGGACACCTTCCACAAGTCCCCACCAATACAGAATGGCCCGTTTTATTTTATTTTTTAAAGATTTATTTATTTATTTACACAAGCACTGGATACAGTCAGAAGTGCGGGAGGGTGAGAGAATTCACCAGAGCCAGAGTGGAGAGCAGAACAGGCAGACTGACAAAATACACTGCTGAGGGGAGCAGTGGGTGGCAGAAGAGGTCTGCACGCCATGTGGGACTCTCGCCGCATGGTCGGGGATCGAACCGGCGCTGCAGAGGCTGCGGGCAGCTTCGCAACTCAGCGCTCAACCGCTGCGCCACCGGGGAGGTGCAGAATGGCCTGTTTTAGCATCACCATGGTTGCTTCTATGTACCAAATTCTCTCTGCACTCACAGACTTGCCCCTAGCACCTTCTTTCTTCTCTCTTTTCTTTCCTTCCTTCTAATGAGCTAACTAAAAGTATCTTGAACATACACCCCCCCCCATACACACACCCCACACCTCCCACCCCACTCAATATTTACTGAGTTTCCCATACATATATAAATATGGCCTTTAGTTTTTGAGGAAATATTCATTAAATATTGAGACTCAAAAGTGCTTCCAAAAAATTCAACTTTAAAAATGATTCCTTTCTAAATAGTACTGGTGTATTTATTTATTTATTTATTTTTAAATAGCTGCAGTTATGCCTGGTCAAAGTTTAAGTGTTGAATATGCTACATTTTTTCTTACTCCATTTTAATGATATATGTAAATTATTATTTAGAAATGATCATTCTTACCTATCATATAACCAATAAAAAATGTTACCTTTCATTATGCCAATAAATTTAATGCCATGTAGTGTTAGAGAAGGCTTCTCGGTTCCTTATCTATTTTGAAATAACGAGGCTGATGCAGGCTGGTATCAGAAGTGCCAACACAAGTTCAGGTATGAAGGAGTGCACAGGGCCAGGGGGTATTTATTTTTTCTCTTTTTATAGTTTTCTTGAAGCAGGTTAGTTCAGTTTATTAGTTTTTAATTCCCAGTTAACATTAATGCAACTGTTGAGTATGTACTGTATCTTAGAGATATTTATACAGTTAATGAGTTGTGCTCTTCCAGCTCCTCTTTGTTACAATAATAATTCTCTGTAATTCATCTAAATTGACTATTGCTTGGTTAATCATTTCATTTGAGCACAGTTTAGAAGCATCTACAGAAAATTCAGATTATAGTTATTTAATTAGATTTGTAAGGCTTATAAAATTGTATATATTATTGTAAGTATTCTATTATTTTTTCTCCAATGGGTTGCTTGTGGCTTTTCCTAAGAAGGAGTGTATTTTTTCCTTGGCAGCACTACAGTTAAGTGTGGATGAAAAGCATATTTTGTCCTGCATTTTAAATTAGGCCAGAATTTTCTTTTTTTGCTATTGAATACATGAGTCAACTGTGGTGTATGAGCCTGACTCCACAGAGTAGTTCATCAGCAAAGTTCTTGCTTCTGCTTTTATGGGAGCTGTTTGATTTATTACTACAAGGTTGCAAAAGGACTTCAGCAGCACTTATGAGAACAATGCAAAAATACATGCTGACTATGTGTGTTTGGCTTTTGATGCCAGTGCAAAGAAGATAGCAAAAAAGCACACTGCAAGTTCACAACTACTACTGTGCTGGTGATTACTGTTGCCCCCCAAAAAGATGAGTGATGGTCAATACTATTTCTCAGAAGTGAGCCAGATATTCTGAGGTAGTTGTGGAAAATTTACATTACTCATCAGTGTTAAAATATCTTAGAAGAAAGGCACAGAAATTTAGTTGATAAAGGACAAGTAATAGGACAGGGAAGTTTTTATGAGTCATGGTCAAATTTTGATGATATTGAGTGCTATTACAATCCATCTTGGCCTAGGATTCAAAGTATGGAGGGACAGCATAATAGAATCAGTGAGTGGAACATGTGAAAATATGGAGGAGTAAAACTATAACCCCAAAATTATAATTAAAAAAATAGAATCATTTGAAACCTCAGTTTCAAGCCTCATTGTCTGTTGAGGGATCTTTAACCATACACAAAAACCTTTCCCTGATTTGATAATACCTAAATATCTTGAATTAAAATGACACTTAGGTGAGTTTTTGTAATCCACAAATATGTCAATATAAATCTCCAACCTTGCTACTGCATCAGCTTTCACTTTTCACATAGTCCTGCATTTTAAAATGCTTAGATTTTAAACCCACCTATGCGTATACTAGCTTGAATCAGTAATTTGTCTATCTTCATACCTGGATTCTTCCAACCCCAAGACTTTCTTTGTAGACTGTTTTACCCAAAGTTCCACAAAGTCATGAGGGCATCTTATAATACTGTATCACTGTCCTTAAATTCATAAGTATTTCCAGAATCAGCAGTGACCCAGAACCAACTGTGACCTCTGGCGTGGCACAGTTTAAACAAAGTTCTCTGAGCCTTTTGCAGTTTACATCCACACTGCTGTTATTGGCTGTGTGTATAGCATAGCAAAACAGTAGTTAATATTGTCTTGGTCATTATGTAGGGCATGGTCAAGAAAACAGAAGAGATGAAAAGAAAAACAGAATTTTGGTTTTGTTTCTCTGTGACATCCCTCAGTTACTGTCAGTTATCTGCTGTTCACCCTGACCTTAACATTTAATTGGGATAGTTTATTAGCCACGTGCTCCCCACCCAAACTTCATATAATACCCAAGATTTTCTCAGAAAACCCCTTTTAGTTATCAGTTGTGCTTCCCAAGTCTGTTTCTTGAGTCTTATCGAAAAAGAATGTATTTTCTGCCATGTTTTCCCCAAAAATGTTGTCTGTTTTCTACTTTTGATTCTTAGCCTATAGGTAAATATCTGTATTTTGATCATATTTCAGCAATATTTTCTGTTAAAGCATGACCTAATTTCCAGAAAGAAGCATGCTGCTCTTGGGAAATAGGATACCTGAGAGATCAACAGGCTGGGAAAGCAGAAAAAGTGCCCATAATTAGTGTCCAGCACAGCCAGTTTCAAAGTCTGCCTTCAAAGCAGTGTTTGTTTTAAGGTGACCCTAGCTCTAGAAATAACTGCATCCAAGCTTCACTATTTCACAACATATGTAAATCAAACCATCATGTAAGCCTTCAACTTTAAGAAAAAGCATTTAATGTAAACTAGTTTTTATTTGTTAATCCTTGATTATGTAGTTGATCATGTTTATCCTTAATCAAGGACTGTTTATCCTTAGTCATATGTCAAACATTTTCTGCCAAGACATGAAAAATGGAAATAAAAGATTGTAATGAAGGGGCATTTATGAGTGGAAGTGGAAATACATGAGTCGTAAAATGATTCATATGAGAACTGTTGTGATCTTTGAGAGTTGTGCTTCTCTTTTTGTTCAGAGATAAAACTCATACCAATTAAATAGTCGGATGGGAAAAAAACAGTGCTGAAAATACATGTGTTAAACCTCTCAGTGTGGAACTCAAGAAGTGTAGTTCTGCTCCATCTGAGGCTTGGAAGAAACCATGTGACTTCAGAAAAGAATCTCACTCTTAGCCAAACTCAAATCCCTTCTTAATCTGCAGGTCTTTAGTTGAGGCCTCTCCCAAAGTAGGGTTGATCTTTCCAAGGGAGGCTTTCACCCAGGTGGTTCTGTGTTTTCATATTTCGCTTAATAATGAAACCACACCAGGGATTGAATATATGGAAATGAAGTATGATTAGAGAGTGATATTGAACTGATACATCAATAGTGTTTGGTCAGGAGATCCAAGAATAACTTCATTCTCACTGGATCCAGTCTTTCCTTCTCACAGCAAAATCTTGTCTGTGAAAATATACACAAAAGAGGAAACCAAAACAAAGTATAACACTTGATTTTTGGCCAGCCCTGCTGATATCCCTGGGAGATTCGACCACATGAACAGCTTCTCTGTCTTCAACAAGTTCTTACAAAATTTAAAAACAGTTGTCTGTTTTTTCATAGTCCAAGCCCAATTTGGTACTTACTGTAGGTTGAGTATACCCAGAAAAAAACAAGCTGAACTTGGGCTGAGTTATTGACACCCCCAAATTCTCAAAACAGAGTCCAGCAATGTCCCAGAACATGACCAATCTAGGATGATTCTCTCTGAGGCTGAATGAAAAGGGTTGCATGAAAGCAGGAAATTTATATTGAGGTCCATGGGGACTCCACAGACCACTGCCCAGTCTTCCATTGCCACTGCTTCCAGTGTGTAGTGAGAAAACTAGCTGCACCATAAGATGATAATATGGAATAAAATGTTCTATGATTCAGCCTAATTTAGGCCTTTACCATTTTAACATTTAAAATTACTGTCTTGTTTCTCAGGAACTTAAAATATAGTTATGTTAATATCAAGACAGATGGTTCATCTATTCTCTTGGATCTTACATTTGCTTCCAGTTTTTCACATATTGGTTATTTTCCTCCATTAGAGTTATGTCAGGGTCTACAAATGAGCCTTGAAGGAGTATCCAAAGATCGAAGAAATTGAACCAAACTCTAATAAAAGTAGTTTGATGTAATAGTGCAGAACATTTACATGAGGAACATCCTCTTTTATTTTTTGGAAGTCACTTAGATTATACTCTTCATTTAAAAATTTAGCTCATTGTCCTGTCAAAGTATTACTTGTTTTATTCTTGTTAAAACCAGCATGTAGTAAATGTCCCATTTCCTTTCTATTCTTAGGTTTTATAATAACTTGTAAAGTTCCATTTACTATATAGGTCTGGAAACAAGATTTTATTTTTAACTATTTAACCAGTTTCATTTCTTGTTATGGCAAGGAGCATGGGCAGCCCAATTTAAATTCAGTAGCATTGAAGCTGTAATTCTAATTTAGATATTTCTTGGATCCAAATCTTTTCTTTGTCACATTGTTTTGGCTCCTTCAAAAACTCATGGTTGACATTTGAAATGGACATGTGTTAACTACATGTCTCTTAATGTCACTTAGCTATTGGTGGTCAATAGGAAATGTGGAACACTAGTAGCCTCTCAAAAGGAGGGCTCAAAATACTTTGTGGCAAAATTTGCTCACCAGTTTTTTTTCCTCCTTGGATGATTGCCATCAAGGTACCAGGCAGGACCATGTGGTTATGTGACATGGGTGGATAGAGTGCCTACAAGGCCTCCCAGTCTCTGGTATGGGGAGTGAGGGAGGCAAGAGGGAGCCAATATGGCACCCACGGGTGTATAATTACTAGGATTGCATGAAGTTGCCAAGATGACTGCTGCCAATTTTGAGGATCATTCTCAAATTTCTTACCTCTTTGGCAGATACTGTAACAGTAGCCAATGGATTCCTTATGGTTCAGATACTTTTTAGCCATGTGTCACTATACTGTGTCTCTGGGCAAGTGAGTTGTGCTTGGACCTCTTAAGGATGAATTCTCTGGTTCCTCTGATTCTTAGATTCTCCTGGGTATTTTCCCCACCAGCTCTCAATGCCAGTAACCTAGGGACTCATCTCTGCTATGTAGAATGGAAAAGTTGGGCTGTTTAATGCAGGACAAACCCTCTCTTGCTCTCAGGCCAAAGTTCTGTGCACTCAGTGTTCCTTTGGCAATGCATTTCCAGACCCAGTGGGCTGTCTTCCTCAGTGTGAGCTTATTTCTCTTTCCAATTCTTCATTGTTCTGCTCTCTTATCCCTTGTAGGATCTTTACTTGATCAGTTTTCAGATTTCCTTTTCAGTAAATTATAGTAATTGTAGATTTGTTGTGTCTATGGTAGGAGGTGAATTTAGGTTCTCCCTACTATGTAATCTTAACCCAAGAAAACACAAAGTTTCTTTCTGATCCAAATGATCCAAAACATGTAGCAGTTTATTACAACACTTATCGCAGGCTCAGGAGTAGAAGACAAGACCTATTTCAGGCAATAATATTGAACTGTCGCTCTACTGCTCTTCCCATTACTGTTATATATCCTGTCTACTGTAAATTAGTTTCATTTTATATAGAACTAAAACTGCTTAAAGAAAATCATAATAATAAGAAAGGAGAAATTGTCTTCAATGTGAATACATTCCCCCCTATTCAGACACTTTCAGTAACATGTTTTTCTAATATTTTTCTTAGTGCCTGAACTTAATGGAAAAAATAAACCATTGATCACTTATGTGGGGGATTCAGCTGTCTTGAAATGTAAATGTCAAAATTGTTTTCCTTTAAACTGGACCTGGTATAGTAGTAATGACAGTGTACAGGTAAGACCATGTTTCATTCATTTGAAGAAAATAAAATAGAAACTTTCATTTCATCAATAATATGTTTACACAAGACATAGAATTTCTAGGCCTATTTCTATTAAGAACAGTGATGAATGGAATTATCATTGATGTCTCTAAATATTACATTACAAGATACTCAATGTTTCATTATCAGATTGTCTTTTTAGATTTAACAACTTATTTAAATTATTTGAAATGAAGTTAAAATTCGTTTTTAGTTGATGAATTTAGAAATAACCCCATCAAAAAAAAATTCCCCCTTTTATTCCATAAAAATAAGTAGGAAAAAATGGAGTCTTCTTTACCTGCTTCTGTCTCTGGAAACATTTGTGAATATAGTACAATGACACAATTTGGAAAAAAATGAAAATTTGATGACTTAAACTTAGGTCTTGTATTCTGTTGGCCAGTGTCTGACCTCTTTTGGCATTCCAGCGACCTATGGGAAGCCAAATGCATTTGAATTTCTCTTAAAGAATTAATGGCTATTCAAAGAGCTGATGTTAAGAAAAATGTAACAATTCAATAAATCATTTCTAATTCCCTTTCTTCCTTCTAAATAGCCCCTAATAGCAGAAAAATTTAGGACATTGTCCTTTAGGGGATGCCCTTTTATTGCCCTGGAACTAATGAAATGAAATGAAAGTCCCAACTAATGTATTGAAATGAAAGTCCTATAAGGCAAGCTGAGTTCTAGAACTAATAGGATGAGCCAGAGTAGATCTTATAATGAAATATTCAATTCCTTCATAAATAAAATTGATGCTACCTTAAACTAGTGAAGGAAGACAGAGGAAGGATTTAAAAGGGTGAGTGATGGTTCTATGTAACACTGGTTTATTTTTCAAAGAAATAACTTCAAAATCACTTACGAGTAGACGTAATCTTTGCATACTTAACTTTAAGTTTATCTTTGTATTGATTAGGCAAGGGGATCGTTGTATACATGTGCATATTTTCAAAAACACATACATTTGTAAAACCAAATAACAATTATGACATTTGAAATACATAGCCTAAATTATTTATGCTTAAATGATATTAGCCAAAAATTCTTAAATTTAATTATTCTAAATGTTTTGTTAGCATTTCTCTCTGTCATACTGAATTTTTCTTAATTTGATCCTAAGAATGAGTTATATTAGTATGTAAAATAAAAGTACAGAAGACAGTACAGGTCAAAACATTAAGTCAAGGGTTTTTTTCAAAAAGCAGACCAACCATTTGCATCAGAATCACCTGGAGTGACTATTAAACATGCAATGCCTTGAGAGGTCAGTTCTGATTAGAGAGCAAACATTTGTAATAAGCATCCCAGAGAATGCTGTGGACATGGAGCCAGGTTCTGACACTTTTTTGGCAAGTAATAAACTCACAGACAGTTCTTCATCAAATAACCTCCTAGAATATTTGTGTGCAGGTTACCATTTATTGAGTAGGGCAATTGATAGAGCAGAGAAGATATCAGAAGACCTATGAATGAGTTTTATTTTTTGTTTTATATATTTTTTAGATTTTTTAAAATTTTTTTGAATATTATTTATTTAAACAAGTACTGGGGTACAGGCCAGATGCGCGGGAGGGTGAGAGGACTCACCAGAAACAAAGTGGGGAACAGAACAGGCAAACTGACTGAAATACACTGCTGAGGGGAGCAGCAGGTGAAACAGGAGAGGTCTGCCGCGCCATGTGGAACCCTTGCCAGCTGGCAGGGATCAAACTGGCACTGCAGAGGCTTGCGGATTGCTTCACAGCGCTGCGCTCAACCACCTGTGCCGCCAGGGGAGGCCCTGAATTTTAAATAAAATAGGTTAAATATATCAGCACCACAGTGGTTTTGTATGGATCCTGAGAGACTGGAAGAAACCCAGAGGAATCTCAGACATCAGCTTGCCTGAGAAATTCAGATAGGAAAAAGAGGAGGTATGCAGACCACCACATCTGCCAGCATCACAGGGGATTCTGCCATTCCTTTACATCAGTTTCAAACACCCGAAGAGTTCACTTTGTGTGTGTGTGTGTGTAGAAGAACTGGGGTGTTGGCCACTGGTGTGGGGAGGTGAGGGAATTCACCAGAGACAGAGTGCGGAGTAGAACAGGTGGATTTACTAAAATATACTGCTAAGGGGAGCAGCAGGCAACATGGTAGAAATCTGCTGCACCATATGTGCATTAGCATCTTGGCCAGGAATCAAACTCAGGCCACAGTGGTGATAGTGCTTAGAATTAACCTGTAGGCCACTAGGGAGATCCTAAAGAGGTCATTTTCAATTTCAATTTGAGGAACTCCCAATGTCAGGGACCAGTGATCTTCCTTTATAGAAGTGATCAGATTTAATAGTTTTATTAATATAATAATTTAGTGAATGTCTGCATTTGTGAAGGAGCAAATGCTTTGAATAGCAAGTCAAGGATTAGAATGTGACACCCAGATGATTGGAATTTTTCTGTATTTTTAATCATTTTATCATATTTGCCCATAATGATCTACAAGCTGTAGTTTGAAACATAGTGCTGGGTACTTAAGGCAAAGTAAACTTGCAAAAAATCTTAATGCAGAAGTCCTTGCTGCCTCTGAAAGATCAAACTCTGATAAAGCTTGAGCTCTGTTATGTATAACTTCACAAACATTCCTTTTTTCTAGTATGCATTTTTTCCTGGTACTATCTTAAAGCTTTTGCTCAAAATTCGATAATTTAGTTCATACACGATTTATGCATTTTTATATTAATTTGTTAGTCTTATACCTATGTATATAACTTTGGGGATAGTTTATGCAATTTGATAGGAATGGGTATAAATTTTTTTATCCAAAAAATTCTTATTTCCCAATTTATAGTTTTTATAATTTATTTTAACTAAGGTAATATTGGTGTACTCCATCAGATATTACCACTATAGTGCACCCACCAGCAACTCACCCATTTTTTTTAAAGATTTATTTATTTATTCATACAAGAACCAGGGTACAGGCCAGATTCCTGGGAGGGTGAGAGGATTCACCAGAGACAGAGCAGGGAACAGAACAGGCAAACTGACAAAATACACTGCTGAGGGGAGCAGCGGAAGCGACAGGAGAGGTCTGCTGCGCCATGTGGGACCCTTGCAGGCCGGCCGGGATCAAACCAGCACTGCAGAGCCTGCGGACAGCTTCACAGCGCAGCTCTCAACTGCTTGCGCCACCAGGGGAGGCCCCAATTCACCCATTTTAATGTCTTTTTATACTAGGTTCCCATTGATGTTCAAATGATTGATAAGTATGTAGTCAATGGAACAAATGCTAATGAAACGAGACTCAAGATAATGCAGCTTTCAGAGGAAGACCAGGGAACTTACTGGTGCCATGCGATATTCCAATTAGGTGAAAGTGAAGAACAGATGGAACTTGTCGTGCTGAGCTATTTGGTGCCCCTCAAACCGTTTCTTGCCATAGTTGCTGAGGTGGTTCTTTTAGTGACTATTATTCTCCTTTGTGAAGTATACACCCAAAAGAAAAAGAAGCGTGCAGGTATGAGTTCTTTTTTCAGGTAATGTTTGTAAGCTTTACATTTTGGGGGGAAAAATATAACAATTTTTTTATTTGCTGTGGTATTTACATTAAAATTAATGGTGACAGCACTGAGTTTGTATCTATGGTCTTCCAGTTTCAATATCTAAAACCTATAAGTATTTTTTAATTTCCCCTCCCTCCTTTTTTTGGCCTTATCAATACCTTCACACAAATTAGGTGAGAAGTGTTTTGGCCCTAGAGTGTTAGAAAATTCTGTTTTAGTTTAATATAAAAGATCTCAAAGACAAAGAATTAATTCTTTCACTTAAATAAGTCATTTAAAAAAATATTTTATCAAACATTCTGGAGTTCTCATTAAATGGAGTTTGTCTGGTCGATTTCCCATTTTTTGTAGCCTGTGCCTGATGGATTGCTGGTTGAGAAACAAATGGCTTCCAATTTCCCTAAGGAAATTTATTTTACATTCTTTATTCTTTCCTAAATTCATGCTAAATTTTTAACCTTTTAAATACTTACAAATCAATGACTGTTTTTGAAAGTCCCAGAAAATAGCCTGTTCTAGTCCAAAAACTCAGGTCAGGTCTGTAGAGCAGGAAAATAGGGGGATGGGATGGAGGTGTCGCTGTCTGATGTAGCGCATTTCTTATTAATTTCAAAGAGGGATGAAAGCTCACTGCATTCTTAACTGAGGGAGAAAGTTGAATTGAACGTACATGTTGCATAAGAATTATAAACCAGTCCTAACAGTTAACTATTTTCTTTTTTTATATAGATGATGGGAAAGAATTTGAACAAATTGAACAGCTGTAAGTACTCTATTTTACAGATCAATTTTCATATAGGTAAAATACATATAAACATGAAATTGAATATAGTGTTTATAGTTAAGAGGGGGGAAAGCACAAGAGTATATTTTTTTAGCTTTTTGTACATGTCCATGCTGTCTGCCTGGACTGTGATACAATCCACCTCCATTACTTAATATTTTCACCCCCACTTTAGTTTTATCCTCAATAAAATGGGTTTATGATATTGGATGTTTGTGATGTTGGACTAAACAGTATGAATCTGGAAACACTTATCACAGGCATTGTTGCAAAGAATGGTATTTAGTAATTGTAAGGAATTCTCATTCCTGGCTATATTTCTGATTACTTAGAATGCTCCTTTAAACTACACTTGCTCAGATGTTACTGGATCTCCTGGATTAAATCCTCTGAGATTGGCCCCTGAGCATCTCCATTTCTTTAAAATGTCTTTCACTGATGCTAATTCTTAGTCAAATTAAAAATTACTGACAGGATCCTATTAACCATCATTTTGGAGAGAACACAAACTCTGATACTCGTTTTCTTATTTCCCTTTGTTTACAGTTGAGCTTGGAAGCTGAGTTGAGAATAAATTAACTGGGATGCAATTAGATTTGGTAAAGCTGAGTTTTGTCAGACCCTCCAGGCCAGAAAACTGAATGTAGAGTCCAGTGATGGAGGTACCCACAGCTGGGATTAAAATCCGAGTAACTGCCCGGCACTGGGGACCAGGAAAATGAGATCAGATGAAAGAGGCTGAAAGAAAGCTAGGATATGGGAAACCTCAGCAACTGTTACCCACACACAGAAGACATTTGACATTTTTTCAGCCAGTAGGAGTTCTGAGCTGTGAGTGCCATAACCACAGATACAGAGCAGCATGCACAGTTGCCAATTAGATATACTTAGATGTTAGAGTTATTTTTACATAATTCACATATGCAGGCTAATAAATTAACAAAATAAGAGCTTCTAAATTAAAGGCATTGAATAATTATATCAGGAGTTTCATAATCCCAGATAGGAAAAAACAAAGCAGTGTTGTCTTAGAATCACAGGTTCTCCTAGTTGAAAGAGAATTGCACCTCTTTTTGGACATCTTGTTTATATTGATCTGGACTTGTTATCTTTCTGGGTCCCATGTATTGACACCCCTGTTTTTTTACTTAGAGGCATATAGAAACATTAGTCTTTCAGTTACGGTTACAGCCCTAGCCAGCTTTATCTCTCTTCCCAGCTCTGCCTTCCTTTCTTCTGACCAATCCTCTGTGGTCACCTTTGGGGGTTTCTTTGGTTTCAGAGCATTCTATTTAGGGCACTCTCTGAATGTTTGGTGCCCGATCAGTGAGGGGTGAACTATCTATCAGTTCTTCATAATTTAGTTTCCTTTTATTTCACTATTTTAAAAATATTTAAAACATGTTTTTTCTAGACTATCTTAGGAAAATGTCAGAATGATTCAATTAATAGTATAATGAATTACTATTCTTTTTGAAAATTGGAATACTATGGATCCTTTGCTCGATCCTGTACAGAGGTCACTGACAGTTTCAGTTTTCTGATCTTTACATTGTCTCAAGAATATCTTTGGAGTTAATACAAGTATCAAAGGCATTTTGGCTTTGCTCGTTCAAAACAACCTTTTTTTTTAAGATTTATTTATTTATTATTTATACAAGCACTGGGTACAGTCAGAAGCACGGGAGGGTGAGAGAATTCACCAGAGCCAGAGCCGGGAGCAGAGCAGGCGGAAGGACCGAAGTACACTGCTGGGGGGAGCAGCGGGCGGCAGGAGAGGTCTGCGCGCCATGCGGGACCCTCCTCAGGTGGCCGGGGAGCAGCCGGGGATCAAACTGGCGCTGCAGAGGCTGCGGGCAGCTTTGCAACCCAGCCCTCAGCCGCTGTGCCCCCGGGGAGGCCCCCAAAACAATCTTTTATCAATGTGCTTGAAATTTTCAATTAGGAGATAAATTTTGCTTGATAAAAAATACTTCCAAAAGTATATTCTGGTAAATGTTATTTATTAGTATATTTTGATATCATATTTATGTATGTGTGTTTAAATACCAGTGATTCATAGTTTCTTGATGAAATGATCTTTAAAAATAATACGAAATGCTTTGATGGTGGGTGTGGTGTGGTAACCTACATCTGAAGAGGTGTGACTCTAGACCCCTACATCGGTGTTGTAAACCAACTTTACCTTAGTAAAAATTAATACAGTAAAGAAGTAGTACTAAACATACAGCATCAAAACAAGCTAGTCACTCCAAATAGTTTAATGAGAAGCTCTCTCATTTAGCTAATCCACTGAGATACTGACTCCACACAGACTTGCCAACCCACCCCTTCTGCATAAAACAACAGGCCTTTCTCACTGTCATCTGTGGCAGCAATTTCCCTCCTAGCAGTGGTCTCAGCAAGGTCAACATCAGGAGTAAAACATTTTTAGGAAGAGTGAATTGTGTGCCCTGATATCTATGGTATAGGTGGTGAACTGACTAAATTTTATACAATGTATCTAACATTTTTTGTTTTTTGTATAGGAAATCTGATGACAGCAATGGCGTAGAAAATAATGCTACCAGGCATAGAAAAACTGTAAGTTACTTCTAAATGGTATTCCAAATAGAAGATAAAGTCCAGTATACATAGACTATTAATCCAGCTGCTTCCCCCCCTATTTCTCATGAGCAGACTCATAAATAGTCTCTTCATTTGCTATGTGCTTGAATATGCTTGTTTATATTATTATAGGACAAACATAGAGTTAAATAAAAATAGTACTCTATCTCACCATAGACCATGTAGTGGTCAAGCTAACAGTAATTAATTTAGTGTACTGCCTATAGATTTTGTCACCACAGGTTATTTTCTTTTATAACTTCTCATATTTTTTCCTCAATTTTTCTGTATTCCCCTGTTTTATTCTTATTTATTCCTATACATTGGGTGCTATGAATGACTCTACTAACTTACTGTTTAGAATAAAAATATTCATAAATCATTAAGAGCCCTTGTTGTTGACAGTGGTTTGGATCTGCCCTTCCCAGCACTTATTTTTGCTTTGCTAAAGTGATAATAAGTTATTACAGAATAGTGAGGACATGCTAATTATGTTTCATTATGCTTTATTTAACGCAGGAACCTGTGAGCCAGTGAATGAGAAACAGCATGTCAAGAATTATGGGAAGATACACAGAGAGTTTGTATTTCAGTTTTGCTTATAGTTCCTATTAAGAACAGCTATTTTTTTTTTTTATTTTTACAAGGATGAAAAGTTTATCTACATGCTCAGCAGTAGCTTTGTTAAATATATGCTACTGCAGATCTAAAGATATGTTTTCAGTCAGTATTTTACATTAAAGCAAGGTAGATATATTAAATATGCTCAGTGAATTATAACCCAGGATAACTAATTTCTTCCTGGTCCCCAAGGAACACACAGAATGGACACCAGCAAAACCAGTTAATAGTTACTAGACCAAAGGGTACTCAGTGCCTGTTTATAACCAAAGAATTTATTAAAGAGAAAGCCTTTACCATTTGTCTTAAAACATTTTTGTTCCCAGTCATCCTTATCCTATGTATAGAAATATTTGTAATGATTTTTGTGTATAGTTTATCCTCCTATCATATTGAAAACAAGAATCTTCACTAGGAAATGAATACTTCCTGCTTTTGTTAATGATGGTTACTCTACAATCTCTATAAGAAAAACTTAATTTGTCCTCTATTAATATTGGTTTAAGTCAAGGAAATAGTCATACATTTGCCCAAAGCTGTATAGCCCAAAAGCTAGTTTCCCAGTCTTTATTCTACTCGAATTGCTTTCCCACACCAAATTAAATTGCTTCTTGGTCTTTGTGTAGAATGTTTTGGAAAAGCCATGGGTTTGGACTTCTTAAGATACAGCATGCAGGTCTGTACTGCAGCATGCAGCATGCATACAGCATGCAGCACTGTAGCACTGCTCCAGGCTAGTGCTCTCCTCCATGGTTTCCTGATATCTTTGATTTGATGCTTGATTTGCTGGTATCTGGCAAGCTGGATATTTAAAACTGCATTACTAGTGATTTATAATACTGATTGCTTTGTCTGAAATCCAGATATACTAAAGTAATTCTATGTTGCTACAAATGCCTTAGACTTTTCTTCAAAAATAGTATAGTTTTTCTTGCATAGATAACTGAAATACTTGCCGTAGTGAAATCAGGTGAAGTCTGAGTGAACATGAAAAGTTGTTGGTGACTTTGAATGGAATACTGAAATGGCGCTGATACTATCCCGATGCTGCAGGATAGTAGAGCAGGTTGAAGAAAATGTTGTAAAACCAGCTTTGTGGACTTGTGCTACTAGGTCCAGTGTCCCATTGTTCACAGTGCCACAGAAGCAAAGAGGGAAGAGCTTGGTGTGGTGGCTAGGAACCCACTGTTCTTGATGATGAGGAAACTCAAGTTTGGAAAAGAGTTCAATGGTTTAAATAAAACAACTTTTCATGATGTACTGACTGAGAAAATTACAAAATAAAATGCTTGCTGGTGGAGAAAATTATTGTGTATATGAAATCTTAACTAATGTTAAAAATACTACTTGTATGAATCATACATATAAAGCAGTGACTTGGAAACTGCTCATTTTTGGTTGTAGTATTTTGTATAAAGTGTGTTAACTAAACATACAAGTTTTATTGAACTAGCATATATCCCCTAAGTAATGGCAGATTTTATTTTATTCTTGATCTCAGAACCATAAGCCATGCATTTGTTTTGGTTCAGTTCATTATTAACTTAATAAAATTGTCTTAAATAATATCTGCAAGGTGGCAGATAACCCATCAGTTCACTTAATGAAGTCAATGAAAATGTAGTCAGACCTGCTTTTGACTAAGTCTAATTCAAATCAGTATATTTGTTAGTGTCTCTCACTGGCTACAAAACCAATTTGTAGTATGTAGCTTTCCATTTTGCCACCACTATTTAGACTAAATCCTTTTCAAGCAAGAAAAATTGCTGCCCCAAGGTAAAATAATCTGAAATATTTATATAGTAAATTGAATTCTTAAGTGGCAATTCTTGCTATTTTTCCTATCAAAGGCAATTTATTTGAGTAACTATTTTAAGCAGAAAAAGGACCAGAAAATTAAAGTTGAATTTTGGCTTCTCATAGTCTCTCTGGAGGACTTCTGGAAATTACTTTATCACAGTTAGATTAAAAATGGAATGCTACCATTAACTAACCTCATAGAGATGATAAATAGATGAACTAATAACGACCAATTGTAAATTGACTAAAAATACTAAGCAAGCAGAAAAGCTGAAACATGAAAACTACTCCATATTTATATTTTAGACCCCTGGGGAAATTCTATTAATCTTTCCAGCTAACAGAGTTTTGCAGCATAAGTCGATTTAATGATGTCTTAAAATTTCCAGATACTTTCCTATTAAGTTTATACTCTCATATAAATCTCCCTTTGTAATCTTCTTTTTCCTCAGCGTCTCATTATTCAAGCCAAATTCTAGAACTCATTGTACTATTTTCTTCTCCTTTATTAACTAATGCTTTTAGTAGTCATGAAGCTCTTCCTAATGGCTCATTAATCTACCCCATTGTCTTCCCCACTCCACCTTTGTCAGCTACCACAGCTAAACTCTTGATTTTCCTACCTCAGTCTCTCACCTTCTGTTATTCCCATTTTTGCATTATCACCTGAATCATGTTTCTAAAACACAAATCTCACTATTCAACTTGATTTAGGTTCCAGGCCAAACCTCTGCAGACTCATCTTTGCTTTTTCTTAATATTCTAGTTTTCCAAATTGCAAATTTCTCTCCGATGCCTTGACTTAGTGTTGACAGAGAAGAGATTCAGTGCAGAAATGCACTTCCCTGTGCTCTTGCACACAGACTAAATCAAGCTTAGCTTTTAAGACTTTCATCTGATGTTATTCCTCTTACTGAGATCTCTCATACCCTGTGGGGTTTGCACCATCTTAATGTGCTCAAATAACTCAACATTTCTCTTTGCTTATTGCCCTGTATTAGAAATTACACATCTGTCTCCTCTGTGGCTTCTGCCTTTTATTTCTGTGCCCTATACCTACCCTGGAGAAGGGCTGTTAGAGATGTTATGAAATGTGTGTTGAATGAACAAATTATATAAGTAAAATTCATAAATTGCTACTTATTTTTAGAAGGACAGTTTAAATTGCGGCATCAGAATCGGCACAAAATATTTTAAAGAGAAGTTTTATAACTTCAATGTTTCTTTCTATTACTTTGAAAAACATATAGTAATAGAATAAAAATTCTTATCAAAGTATTCATGTATTACTATCTATGAGCAAAGGGCGTTCTCATTCCAAAACTATGCTACAGGGTATCTCACTTTCAACTTACTTAAATTCTTTTGTCCTCTATTTTTCATAGACAATACAAACTGTAACCTAATTTATATTCTTACTTTGGTAATATGATATGTTGACTTTAAATATAAAGAATTTTGGCAGTTGTAGTCCTTTGTCCAGTACTGTACCAAGTATTGGTATTTGTATCTTTTCCACTGATTTCTCTTTTCTCCTTTCTGCCAAGACCTTATAATACCTCCTGGAACCCTAGGATGCATTTCCAAAATTTAACTTACAAGAAAAAAATAAATTCTGAAAAAATTTTCATTGTTTATTTTTGATCACTGAAAGCTTACCATTAGTTAACTTCGTCAAAAGAAAAAAATGCCAATTTTTGTTTTTTTTTGCTTATTCTCTGGGTCTTCATTTTGAGGCAAAATTATTTACTGAATGTCCACTACCTTCCAGAAAAAAAATCTACTGTAATGGAACAAGGTTAGGCAATAAATTACGAACTTACTCCCCATTAGCATTATTCATGTTATGGTGGGAATGAATTCAAGTATGCATTCCAGTATTAATTAAAGGTATATTAACCTACTTGTGGCAAGCTTTGAATGAATTGTTACTGAATGAATGAAAACTAGATGAAGAACTCAGTTGTTTTGGAATCTTAAATTATACATATTATGTAATGTCTACTTTGATTTTGATCACTGAACTGAAAATTTATCCTGTGAGTTACAGATTAAAAGAAAACTGGAGCTGTGAGTATTTCTTTCTTGTGATATTTAGGAATGTATTTTACTGTGTCCTGAAGGTCAGTTGTAACCATATATTCAGTTGTGTTCTTTCGAGAATATGTAATATTCTTAAGTAATAGTGACAGCTTGTGTTTGTTGAGTGCTTAGCTTGTGACAGGCACTGAGCTAAATACTTCTAATTGTGAGCTCTTGTTTAATCATCATATCATCCTGTTCTATAGAAACTATTATTATCTATGTTTTATGGATGAGGAAACTGAAGCTTAGAGAAATTGCATTTAGAAATGAGATTGGAATTGAAAGAGTTGTCCTCATGAGTCCGCCAGGGTTGATAACTACATTGAACAATTTTGGCCTGTTGCTTACATGCCTCTCAGAACATGAAACTGCTATCTATCCACCATCTCTTTTTTCATGTCACTTTTTTAAAAAGCCAGTTAAGTAATAAGTTTTACATTCTTTTTTTTCTTAAGATTTATTTATTTATACAAGCACTGGGTACAGTCAGAAGTGCAGGAGGGTGAGAGAATTCACCAGAGCCAGAGCAGGGAACAGAACAGGCAGACTGACGAAGTACACTGCTGAGGGGAGCAGCGGGCATGGCAGGAGAGGTCTGTTGCGCCATGTGGGACCCTTGCCTGGCAGCTGGGGATCGAACCGGTGCTGCAGAGGCTGTGGGCAGCTTCGCAGCCCAGTGCTCAACCGCTGCGCCACTGGGGAGACCTAATTTTTATATTCTTATTCTCAAGTCTTCAAAGACCCATTGATGCTTGCTATGGCACACGTGTATCCCTGCAGTGGTGTTTGGGAATCAATACACATTTGTTTGGGGAGTCTCCTTTTCCTAATTTTCCTTCTCAGTAGCTAGTGTGACCTCAATTTATCCAAACACCAAGAATGAATGAAGGTGTTCTTTATATTTCCACCAGGATAACAGGCAGAAAAGGGACTGATGGTCACACTTTTAGCCTATGGGGAGAAGATCAATACTTTGTGGATGTTCTAGTCTAGGCATCACAGTGACATCTGCAGCAAATGAATGTTAATCAGAAATTCACTATTTTTAGCAAATGCCAGGTGAGTCTCACTATAGAAAAGTGTCTATCATGAGAAAATTGAGTAAGCTTAAAGATCTATTACTTTCCAAAAGTAGTATGATTAAGATGTATTAACATCTAAAAGTATGTCACAAATTGAAAGAGAAGTTGGGAAAGAAAGTAATTTTTTTGATGGCCTGGAAAACGAACTGGAATTCCTTAGACTTGCTTATTTTCTTTATTAATGTGTCATAATAATAATAATGTTTCTGTGCTTCTCAAAGAATCAGAAATGCCTGATTATACCTTTATAATACAATTTACTATAAAATCACTGAGAGTATCACTCAGGATAACACTGTTAAAACTACCTGTAATCACATTATTAACCTGTGACGTCTGTATTTCTTACAGATTCCCAAATGGAAATAGACTAGGGAAACTTGTCTAGGGTATTGGTCAAAATCTAGTTGTTAATTGTGATGTGTTATATATTATGTTTAAGAACTTTAGTTCATAAAATTGATTTTGCTATTTAATTTGTGTTTTTCTTCAGAAAGCAATTTAGCACACATTCTTATTCTAAAGTTTATTTGAAAAACATGAAATTATTAAACCTATTACATGCCATTAACCATAATGCTATTTAATGTTACAAAAATATCATAAGCTATAACTAACTCCTTTTGTATCTCAATAGAAATTTAACTTTGCTTTTTAAAGTAAAAATTTTATGTTTTATAAAAATTAAAGATCATGGGTTTATTATGACCTATTTCTTAATAATTTTAATACTTTTTTAACACGTCTAAAATCTCATTAATGCCTTCGTATGTTATGTATATAGCAAAGAAAATTTATATATTGGAAATTTTTGCATTTTTTGCTTTTGTCACATGCAACTCAAAGGATATATCTAATGCAATGAAATTCAATAAAATGTAATCTAATTTAAAAATTGAGTATTATGGACCTCCCCGGTGACGCAGCCGTTAAGCGCTGGGCTGCAAAGCTGCCTGCAGCCTCTGCAGCACTGGTTCGATTCCCGGCTGCCGGCGAGGGTCCCACGTAGCGCACAGACCTCTCCTGCCAGCCCACTGCTCCCCTCAGCAGTGTATTTCGTCATTCTGCCTGCTCTGCTCTCCGCTCTGGCTCTCGTGAATTCTCTCACCCTCCCGCGCTTCTGACTGTACCCAGTGCTTGTATAAATAAATAAATAAATCTTTAAAAAAAAATTGAGTATTAGAAAATATGTTTTTTCATTTTTAATGTGTAAAAGTGAATATAAAGGCACTAGATAATGGAGGTCATTGATTTATTTCTTTGTTTATATTCCAAAGAAATTCAGGTTTTTTAAAAAACAATTCATCTTTCTCTAGCTCAGCAAAAAAATATGCCTGGAGCTTGGACTTTGTATTTTGACTCACTAAATAGAAAAAGTAATTCTCAAAATGTAACAAATTATGTTTGGGAAATTTAAAAGACATTAATGGTCTTAAGTATAATGCACACCTAAAATAAAAATTCATAAAACATTTTTGGTCATTGTCCTGTTTCAATTTTTCAACTCTGCAGTGTCATTTTAAATTGGATCAGCAAAATGGTTACACGTATTTCAAAATTTATATTCTATGAAAATGCTGCTTCAAAAAGAATCAGTATTCCAAACAGGACATTTTAATGATTTGAGTAGGCAGGGAAAGAAGCACGCAATATTAGGATAATGGAATATTTCTCTATATCTATATATTAGTTGAAATAAATAATATATATTAAAATGAATAATAGTGGGTGAAGTGTGTTTTTGTTATAAAGCATGTTGAAACCAATGTTAAGAAATATGATCTTGTGGAACTACATGGCTGTTCTGAAAAGTTGTATAGCAGTTTCTTAAAATAATAAGCAAACACTTCCCATATTACCCTGTAATCACATCCGTAGGCATTTGATAACTCAGACAAATATAAACTTATAGCCACACACAAAAATGTTCATTATTGTACATTGTAGTTTTAATAGTCCTAAGCTGGCAGCAATTAAAGTGTTTTACCAAAAGTGGGTATTTCAACAAACTGCTAAATCCATATTATGAAATATTACTTGGCAATAAAAAGGAACAAATGATTGAGATGGGCAACAACTTAAATAGATTTCAAAGATCATGCTGAGTTAAAAAAAGCACATCTCAAAGTTTTTTTTTTTTTTATTTTTAGACAATCTTGAGATGACAAGATTATAGAGAGGGAGAACCAAGCATTGTTTTCTTGGGGTTTAGATGCAGGGTAAGATAGGTGGTGAATGCTATGAAGAAATAGCATTAGAGAGACCTTTGTGATAATGGATTAGTTTTGTATCTTACTGGTTACAAGAACCTACATATTTGATAAAGGCACAGAAATATATGCCTATAGTAGAAAATATAATATACATGGCATATTATACTAATGTCAGTTTCCTTTTGATATTATCAAAAGTCACTTAAGCTGTAATCATTGGGGAATTAGGATTCAAAAATGGAACCTCTGTGCTATCTTTGCCATTTCCTATAAATCTATATTTTTTCAAAATATTTTAAATTAGAATGAATTGAGTAGTCAATGCATGCTGTGATTCGAATTTGAAAAAAACATGGTTGAAGTTTTTTACTTTTTAAATTACGGGTTTAGGTAGAAAACTTATATGGTCAGCTAAAACCTTTGGTAAAAAAAAGCAAAGAATTGCTCCCTGTGGAGCAGGCAGTCAGGGTGGTCAGTGGGCACATGCAGATTTTGCAATGGCAAGAGACAGTGTGGCTACAGCAAGCATCCAGGCGGAACGTGTTTATAAGGGAGCTAGCCATCTACCTCTCTGATGACTCTTTGAGCCTGCCCGTTTGCTTTTCTGGGTCAGGTAACTCAAAAAGCATTAACGTTGTATGCTTTAAGAAATGTTCTGTACTTTAATATGTTGCCCTGAATTTCTGAAAGCATTAATCAAATTATATTGTTTTCTTAGGGATACCCTAACATGTTTGAATTGGAGCAAAGAAAAATGTTTAAATACAGTGAGGAAACTTAAAATACTGTATAAAATAAATTTATTTAAAGAGAAACTAATGTTTCTTTTTAACACAGGATGAGGTGGCAGAAATTGTACAAATCTATTTACATGGGGGAAATCACAACTGAGAAAATTAATCCTCAGCCATAAAAAATAGATTCCTGTCTCACACCTACTAAGTAGCGCCTTGCTGTTTTCTGTGGTATTATTCTGAGTTTAACAATTCATGATAGAAGTACATTTTGAGTTTAGGATCCAAAGCTCATTTATTAATGTCTGTTGTTGAAAGAATGCTGATCCCGTTGTGAGACAGCATTAAACATCATCTCATTTTTGGGCTCTTCCTCCGACTTTTGGTCCTGAAATTAATTTTTCATTTTTACTTTTCTGTTTTACTCACAGGAATTTGCTGAGGTACTAATTCCTTTGTGTCTGTGTTCCTGCCATTGAGCACACAGACTAAATGGGCTCCAATTACTGTAATAAATTTTAGAAAAGTAATCAGTGTCCATAGGATGAAACTTGGGCTGGAAGTTTCTCTACTCAAAGGAGGGTTATTCAGAGCAGGAGTTGAAAAGCTTTGCATTGGACTGACTTGAGAATACTGCCAAACGAATACAGCTGAATTTTTGCAAAATCCTGGGAACTGTGGCAAAATGCTTAACTTTCATGAGCTTTGAACTACTGATCAAAAAGAAGAACATGTTCACTTTCTATTAACTTTCCATTACACCACGCATAACGGAATGCGGTAGAGTTGGACAGTTACCTCTGGAAAATTGTTGCTAACTGGTACCCGATGAGGGAGAGTGCTGAGCAATAGCCAACACTTGGCTTTAGCCTCAGAAATCCCAAGAACTTGTATTTGGAGAAGGAAGTTGACGTATTTATATAAAGATTATAATTAAAGGCTAGCTTGTTTTCTTGGAATTAGGTCACAGTTGGGCTGAGAAGAAAGGACACTTTTTACCCCCATGTTTCTTCCCAGACTCTTCTTCACCCCAAATCCTTTTTTTGCCTACATTGAAAGAAGTTGCAAAAGTGTGGGAAAGAACTTGTTGAATGTAAATTGTAGACAACATTCTTTTCATTTTGTCTTTTTTTAAAAAAAGAGTTATTTAAGCATACAAGAACTGGAGTGTAGGCCACAGGTTCAGGGGGGTAGGTGAGAGGATTCACCACAGACAGAGTGGGGAGCAGAACAGGCAGATCTACTGAAATACACTGCTGAGGGGAGCAGCGGGTGAGACAGGGGAGGTCTGCTGTGCCATGTGAACTGGCTCCCTGTTCGGGGATGGGGATTAAACCTGAGCTGCAGTGGCTGGTGATAGCTTGACAGTGCTGTGTCTTCAACTGCTGCACCACCGGGGGGGCCCATTTTGTCTTCTTTTTTTATGACAATATCTGAGAATTTCTGCAATAAGTTTCTTCTGAAAATTTCCTTGCTCAGTTATTTGTGCTTGTAAAAGGTGCTTAGCACCACTGAAGATTCAATTAGGATTATTATGGCAGATAGTTTATCTATGTTATTTCATTGAAATCATGGGGCATGGCTATCCAGGCTATTAGAAACACTTGTCAGTGCATCCCACAGTAATTACAGAGGACTCATTTCACACAGCAGTGTGTTAGTCACTGAGAATATATGGATGAAAGAAGCAGGTCCTAAAAAACATAGAGGCTAGTGATGGGTAAAAATAATAGGCTGTGGTTTTCAACATAATGTAAAAAATGCTTTGTTTCTTGCTGAATAAGTTGTGGACTATAAATAACAAATGGCGCATAAAAGAGATTTTTACCTGGATAAAATGGGATAACTTCCCCACGGGCTTTAGAGCAGAAATAAATAATACCTTTTCATATTTTCAATTCTAACAATTCCTGACACTTTTTCAGAGTCTAGACTCTTATGTGTCAGATCCCTCTGGTTTGGCCCTCCGAACTCCTTCTTATGCTGGGATACTACTTGTCTTCACTATATTTTTGGGTTAATTGCCACTATTTTGGGCACAACCCTACCCAGGTGAGACCGGCAACCTGAACTTTGGCAAAGGTCTCTGCTTTCTCTTTGCTTCATCCCAAGATGTGGAAGCATTCATTTTCCTTAATTTCTCATGACATGGAAAGCATTTGTTAAGATGTAATGGAAGACATGACCATACTGGAAGGAAAATACAGCATAGAAGGTAATTTACAGCGATTCTATAGTTGGGGGGTTTCACCAGGCTCCCTTCCATGTTTAAATCCAGGCTGCTTTATTGTGATGAAAGAACACTCACTACCTTTCTCTCTTAGAACCCGTGACACATGGTCAAAGTGCTTAAAGAAAATAAAAGCTTTTTGCTCTTTTCAATCTCTGTTTAAATCCAGGCTGCTTTATTGTGATGAAAGAACACTCACTACCTTTCTCTCTTAGAACCCATGACACATGGTCAAAGTGCTTAAAGAAAATAAAAGCTTTTTGCTCTTTTCAATCTCTGCTACATCCTGGAGGTTCATTTTCTTCCCAGGATTGATACTGTGACAGTGTGACTCACTGGAAATATCCAGTGGGAAACATTCTGCTTGTCCAGAAAATAATCACAGCCAAATAATGCCAGAGTTTTGTGAAATCCTTGTATTTCCTGAATTCTTATTTG